ATATTTTGACTTTCTTGTTTGAGGTGATTATGCCTTTGACACTTCTAATTTCCTTGTTTTGTTCCTGTAATTTCGATATATTTAATTGTATTGAAAATAGAGCAATCTATAAAATAGATCTTTATTTAAAAAGGCATATATTGGACCAAAATATCATTTATTTTACCAATATTCCATTTGGCTGAACGCCAACTTTTTTCAAGGTTTTAACATATTTATGTCAACAACAAACTCAGCGCCAAATAACGTCAATAGAACGGTTCTTAACGTTATGTGGTGCTGAGTTTGTTGTATGGGGGTTTGTTTATTGCAGATTCAAAAAAGATATAGTGTATAGGTTCTATAAAATAAAACTTACCGACAGGGATGTTTTCTTCAACTCGTTCGAACCTTCGATTTTCCCCAAGTGGATAAAATTGGCAGGCTGAACACAACATAGATTGACGTTAAATAAGGTAAAGGTTTAACACATTTGGAATAAATATAAATATTTAAAACATGTTTGAACGTACTGAAGAATTTCTGGGTATTATAATACACACAAACTATAATTATATCGCATTATTTTTCTGTATTTTATCGCTGTTATTCAGGTTAACTATAAATAAAGTAGATTCCCTGCTATTTTAATGTCTGTTGAAATCCGTAATCAGCAAAAAGTAATTTCTGGGTAGATGGTGATCCTTTGATACAAGAGCAACTTAAGTTTTCAAGATAAAACACGGCAAAGTCGCAGGAGCTTTAAAGCTCTGTCAGTTAACCAGCTTAAACACCTTTTTGACAAATTCGACCGATTTCATAACTCCTCTCGTAAGGTGTTTACAAGAAAGTAGGATTCTTTTTGAAAATAGAGCAATCCATAATTTAATCTTTGGAATAAATAAATGCCTTTTTTAAAATTATCTAATGAAGTAAGATTCTGTTGATGAGTTAACAGTAAAATCTCCAAGATTTTGCTCCGGAATTTCAGTATTTCAATCCACAATCTACACAACTACGTAGATCATAGAATATTGAGGTAGTTGTCTACAAGGAAGTAAGATTCTGTTGATGAGTTAACGGTATAATCTCCTAGAATTTTGCTTCAATAGTTCAGTAGTTTAATCCATAGTCTACACAACTACGTAGATCATAGAAATTCGAGGTAGTTGTCTACAAGGAATTAAGATTTTGTTGATGAGTTAACAGTAAAATATCCAAGATTTTGCTCGGGTAGTTCAGTAGTTAAATCCACAGTCTACACAACTACGTAGATCATAGAATATTGAGATAGCTGTCTACAAGGAAGTGAGATTCTGTTGATGAGTTAAAGGTATAATCTCCTAGAATTTTTCTTCAGTAGTTCAGTAGTTTAATCCACAGTCTACACAACTACGTAGATCATAGAATATTGAGATAGCTTTCTACAAGGAAGTAAGATTCTGTTGATGAGTTAACGGTATAATCTCCTAGAATTTTGCTTCAATAGTTCAGTAGTTTAATCCACAGTCTACACAACTACGTAGATCATAGAATATTGAGATAGCTTTCTACAAGGAAGTAAGATTCTTTTGGTGAGTTAACGGTATAATCTCCTAGAATTTTGCTTCAATAGTTCAGTAGTTTAATCCACAGTCTACACAACTACGTAGATCATAGAATATTAAGATAGCTGTCTACAAGGAAGTAAGATTCTATTGATGAGTTATCGGGTAAAATCTCCAGGATTTTGTTCAGTAGTTTAATCCACAGTCTACACAACTACGTAGATCATAGAATATTGGGATAGCTGTCTACAAGGAAGTAAAGTTCTGTTGATGAGTTAACGGTATAATCTCCAAGATTTTCTGGATGGTTGACAAGAGGAAATGCAAAAACGGTAATATTTTTTTATTATTATTTAACTGCCGCTAAAGAAGGATGTTATTATTCGAATATTCCAAGAGATTTCTGGAGGATGGTGTCATACATTTACATAACAAGTTTTTCCACTTTCCCGTTGTATTCCATTTCCTCGATCTTCACTCTTCTTCATCTCTTCCATAAAAGATTAGTGAGTCAATCCCTTAACGTGTGCTCTGGGTTAATCATACTGTAGGGAGAGAAACTCGCTCAAGTCCTTTTTTTTTTGTGTGAAGAAAGAATAAAGATATTCCATTCCGACTGAAGACTTAGAAGCATATATTCTTTTTGCAAAGGACTGACTAACATCTAACGAATATTTGACCAACTGAGTCTGGCCAATTGGATATAGATGGGGTATGCATTTTAAACCAATAAAACTTACAGTGGACCCTATATCTTAAATTGTAAGCCTATTATATACAGCAAAGATAGAATGAAACTTTATTCGGTATAAAAAAATCACTTAGATTATATATTCTTTTTGCAATCTCAATAAATATGCTTTTTGAATATACACTCATCGACAAAACCTTTAAGGAAGTTGTACCTTTTAGCATGTATATCGGGATTCAGAAAATACCTTTTCTAAGCTATTTGATACACAGTGACCTTTATTGAAGACACACGAGATAACCAAGGGTGAACAAAATTGCCTCTGTCTTCTTAAAAAAAAAAAAAAAAAAGATAGACGACAGGTGACATCCAAAGACATTCCATTTCCTTAAGTTTTGTCCTTAAGTAATGCATATTGTCTTAAAAGACATGTTGTATGCTGATAAAACGGGTTAACTACAATTAGTAATATCTTATTACTAGGATATATATTAATAGACTATTATGTTTTTTTTTGCTTGAGTGCCCTTAATGGCTGGTAAAAATAAGCTCCACTGTACAGTCAAACCAGTCTTAAACAGGTCATGTCTTAAGTAGACATCTGTTATATGAGACACATTGTTAATCCAGTACATGTACCTGGGTTATGAGATAACCTGTATTGTCCAGTGATTCAGTTCATCCTTCTGAGTGTAATTTAAAACAAGATTTATGGTATTTTATAACTAATTCTGCATTTTTGCATGATTCTTTTTAAAAATTATATTTATTCGTTTTTTGAAATTATCCCTATTACATGTGGTATAGGCCATGATAATCATGGTGGGCAGTTAGCGGCTGCTTTTACTCTAAGTGCACCGCATTTCTACACATGTGAAAAGCAGTTCGACTTTTGCACTTATAAATGTGCCAGAACCCCGTTTGTTTACTTGCACTCGCTGGTGGGGCTGGATTTTTACAAGAATCGGGGGCCATTGGGGCATTTTTTTTTTTTTTTTAAATTTGAAAGAAGTGTCCAATGCGGGATTCGATCCCGGGTCGTAGCGGTCGAAAACCAATGGTTTAGACCACCCTTCCACAAACCCCCGATATTTATTCTAACACACACGACCTGAAAAAAATATTTTTTAAAAACCTTGTTTAGATCCTTATATTTTGCTGTACATTCGTTTAAATTAAGTTTTCAATGTACTTTTCTTTTTTAATTCTAATGTTTTTAGATCTTGAATATATCTATAAAATTGGTGGTACAGCCTACTCCACGCTGACGAACGCCAACAGCGCGAAACGCGTTCGTGGATGGCTTTTCTTGATTTATCAAGAAATTGGGTTGGCCAAATATAAGGAAACAGACTAAATAAATCAATGTTTAGTTGATTTCTGTTCCACTGGATGGCGCTCTGCCATCTAAAAAGCACATGTGCTGCTGGTCAGGATATGCCTTTTTTATTTTTAGCTATAAAATTATGTACAAATTCAATTATCTCATATTTTTAAATAAAATTTTGAAATATTGATACAAAAGTATAGATTAATTTAGTTTTTTAGATCATGGTCTCTTTCAATGTTAAAAAATCTTGAAATTTTTCTTCACGTAATTTCTAAACCTTTGCACTGATATGAACGTTTGTAATATAAGATAGAACGCCATCTATATATGAAATTTGAAACTATTTAGCGCTATTTTTCCTACAAAATAAAACTATTTTCTATAATTGGCTTTTCAAAAACTGAAAAATTCTTTGGAAGGATTCACCATTGATGAGCCAGGATCTCGCAATAGGTTTTCCATACAAGAAAATACAGTAGGAAGTTGTTTTATTTTGTAATAATAAAATTTGGCATTAATTATTTTCAAATTTCTTATTTGAACGTATGTATTTGCACATTGAGATACCATGTCATTTTGAGATAGAGTTCAAGAAACTCCTGAATGAGAGAATACTCAGGAATTCTTCTCGAAAATTTTCAATCACTTTAAGGGGATCTAATCAGAAAGCAGGGAGATAATCGAATGTAGAATTTTCCCACCAACTTGTTCAAATTGAAGGTCTCATCTTGGCAATTAAATGGATCACATTAGCTATTAGCTTGATCACCTGTCGAACTGATGGATCCATTCCATCCTGGCGGGTGAAGGATGACCGAGTGACGAAACAAGTTCGAGGACACCGGGATTTCGCACAATTTCTTTGGATCTTGGGACACAGCATTCCTCTAGCTAACAGTAAAAGAGAGGGGGGTCGATGGAAGGATGGTCTAAACCGTTGGTATTTGACCGCTACGACCCGGGTTCGATTGAAAATGAAAATGAGTAAAATATATTGCCACCTGTCTTAACCAAGATTTCTATATTTACATAGTGTCTTAACTGGCGTCTATATTGGCCTGTATTTTTGAACATATAGTCCCAATTCGGTAATTGTTTTCTCTGAATTAAATCGAAACTTATATATAAACTCCCGTTTATTGATAAATATTGATTTAAAAAAATGCTCCAATGGCCCCCGATTCTTGCAAAAGTCCAACCCCACCAGCGAGTGCAAGTGACCAAATGGAGCTCTGGCATATTTGTAAGTGCAAAGTTGAACTGCTTTTCACATGTATAGACATGTGATGCACTTACAATAAAAATCAGCCGCCTATTTCTACCCACCGTGGTTTAACATGGCCTGTACCGCGTGAACAAGGGATAAGCAAAATAAAAAAACTGTAAAAGATGTTACCAAACGGGGCTGCTAACCAAAGTAGATGATTTTTGAGCTCCCCCCAAAAAAGGTAATAGCCTACAGCACCCGGTGTTTCCAGGTGGTCACCCTCCCGACATTGCTTAACTTCGGTGATCGGACGAGAACCGGCGTTTACACTCCGGCCGTAGCCATACCAAAAAGAATAAGACGCTGCAACTCTTTGCAAGTCTTAGAGTTGCAGCGTCTTATCCTTTCTTGTAATTTGCTGAAATCCGCAAGCCCAAGAAAATGAGTAAAAGACGTTGCCACCTATCTTAACCAAGATTTACATATTTACATAGTGTCTTAACTGGCGTCTATATTGGCCTGTATTTTTGAACACATAATCCCAATTCGGTAATTGCTTTCTCTGAATTAGATCGAAACTTATATATAAACTCCCGTTTATTGATAAATATTGATATTTATTGTTTAAATGTTGTAAGGCAATTATTTATTATGTCTAGGCTGTAAGATTTCGAGCTCGCTATGATATTCTTCATCATACAATGTAACCTACAAGAAAGACATAAAACATTCGATTGACAATATTCATAGCTCTATAGTTTTTAGTTTTACAGTTTTTTATATATATATTTATCACCAAATTGTAAATAATCACATTTATTAATAGCAAAAAATCATAAATAGATGCATTGAAATATCAGAAACATACGAGACAAATACTCTCCCATAGATGTAGGCACTCTTCTATATATAACACAATAGTTCATGAATTTATTAAATTTAATTTGAAGTCTCGAGATATCATTCAATCAGCATGTATCATCCACACACGCACGTAAATTTTCAAAATATTTTGTTTTTTTAAAACTGAAATAATGTAATATATTTTTTCTCTCAATATATAATAATTATTTAAAATATCTATATAATAATGTGTATAAAAATAGTATTTATTATTAAGTTTTTAATGTGATAATCCTGTTGAAGGACTGACAATTCGAAAGCTTGAAAATAAAAAGTTGCAAAAGAAACTTAACCCTGGAAGCTTCATTTATTTTATAACATTAATCTTTGTTTAATTTATCTTTGATTTTTGAAACAAATAACTAAGAGTGTCAATATAATATACTAGCCGAATGGCCCGGGCAACGCCCGTGTTTTTACCCGATTGAATGTTTTGATTCAAATACTATTTGTTACAATTATAAATTGGCGCCTTAAATAAATGCATATATTAGTTAATAACTATAGCCTATGTGCTTTATCTGTCTATGTACTGTTGGCTTCCGTAGGCGTCTCTTACTGGGAAAAAGAAAGAGAGGATTCCATTTGGTTATTATATAATATATGCATTTATTTAGGGAGCGACCCGCTCCAACACAATAGTTACAAAGACGAAATAGCGAGTGAGGGGGGGGCAAAGGTGGCGTGATCGTAGCCAACCAATAGGAGGGCGCCATTTCACAAAAAAAAAAGCAAACGGTGACAGAGGTGAATGATTAAGAAATGAAGAATTAAGAGATGAGGAATTGATGACGCTCGTAACTGTATATAGAATTGAATTGTCAGTTGTCTATAGTTTTAAAATATACAATGTGGCGACCTACAAGAATACCTTAAAACATTCTGAGAAAAATAGTACAAAAGTGAAAATATACTGGGATCAGGTGGATAAATTAAGAAAAAGACATCTCCTGATTGTGCAAATATGACAGATGTCGTGAGCCATCAGCAACCTTTAGTTGCAATATCAGGAGATGCCTTTTTTTCTTAATTGAAATATTCTGTTGAATATAGTGATAGCTCTGTAGTTCTTAAATATACCAAGCGGCGACCTCTACAAAAAAGACTTAAAACATTCTGTTGAAGATACTCATATCCCGATGGCTCTTCAAGATGCCTATCATTGTGGCTTAGAAAGATATTACCTGAAACATTCTTTTGAAGACCACCCATAGCTCGATATTTCTTCTAAAATCCAAGAAGTTATCTATAAGAATTGTCTAAAATCTTCTGTTGAAGACAGTCATAGCGGCTCCATAGTTCACAATCTAATCCTTAAAAAAAACTCGTTTCAGTATTTTTACCATCCAATTTGAACAGAATTTCTAGAATCAAAATTCGCATTCAAGGAGTTGTGTATCTCAATTTCTTGGTAAGAATGATTATAAAAAAAAATATTTTAAACTTAAATAGTATTTAGAAATATTTTATACTTCGAATTCGGCCTATAAGAATATACTTGTAAAAAATTGTTTAAAGATCTTTAATGATACGCGTCATCTATATATAAGCATTAAAACTATTAAGCACGCACAGATTTTAAAAAAAAACTTTCTTTACTATCCATACTGCGATGAAAAACATATTGGGAAGGCTTGGCAGTGGTTGCGTCAAATTAATCTACCAGCCCGCGCTATTTAAAAGGTCTAATAGTGTATTGGACAATTCTGCTTATTAATACAAAGCAATAACACGCCATCTATATATAACGAATGAAATAATTAGGACGCGAATGTTTCCTTTCACAAATAAATCAAACTTCTACTGTTCTTATTGCGATGAAAAAATATTGGGAGTGCTTAGCTCATCAGTGGTGAACCCTCCCAGTGGGTTCGCCAATTTAATCCACCAGACTGCCTCCATAGAGCTCTAATACTATATTGGATCATTTTGATTTTGTATGCTACACTGAAGGGTGGAATCTTAGAAATGGTATTTAAGCAAACTATAGACATAAGCTTTTAGGATAGAAGAATTACATTTAAATATTTGCATCGAGCAATTCTCTTCCGCAAACAATAATTCGGCTTATATATGCGACTTTTTAAAGGGAATCTTGTTTACGGTATTTAAGCAAACTATGGACATAAGCCAAGCCCTCGCAATATATTTTTGGTCGCAGTATGGACAGTAGAAAGTTTACTTTCAATAATTAGAATCTTAATTTCTAGATTTCTTTCTTGAAAGGCAAATCATCACATTTGCATGTAAAAGCGAAGATGTTAACGATGTCGAAGAAATAATCAAAGTTAACGTGACAAATTTCTTTATTTGTGCGGTATAATCCGGGCAAGCTTTCGGACTATGACGCCTTCAACAGGCTACTATACAAGAAACTATATCTAGTATAGTAGCCTGTTGAAGGACGTCATATTCCGAAATCTAGCCCAGATTATACAGCATATATATATATATATATATATATATATATATATATATATATATATATGATAATTTAAACCAATAACCCTATATTATGTAATACGTATAACAAGCTTGTCATGTTGTATATAGAACTAATTATAAACTATAACTAATTATACGCATAATTGACGTGTGTCCTTGTATCTCCAGATGTAATGTACTGAGGATGAATAAATAAAAATATATAATAGATTAAAAACTGAGTTAAGAGCAAGATTGAGCGAATCACAAAGTAACTTCTAAAGATAGATGGAAGCCAACAGACTGGTGCCAGAGTCGAGTTGCGGACACGTGCAGAAAGGCAATACTTCCTGGTCCACTTCCTAGTCCCCTTCCTGGTCCAAAAAAGTTGTATAAATAGGACCCCACGTAGCAACAGCCATTTCAGTTCTAGTCAGTCCCGGTCAGCGTCACCCCTTCGCCGGTTGTCACCAACTCATCGACCATGTAAAACAGTAAGAAACCTTCTCGATCTCCATCTTTGCTCTTGGCTCAACTTTTTATCTATTCAAGGAACTTTCTTTCAACTGTGTCGCTTCGTTTTGTGTGTGTGGACATCCCCAGCTTTTCCACTCTGCCTCGACCACGACTGCCTGTACTTTGGGAGAACTGTTAAAGGTCCTACAAGGTGCAGCGAGGTACTGGAAAACTCTCCACCCCTGACTGTCCCTCGCGGTTACTACAGGTTTGACCCTCGGTTGCCACAACTTATAGCGAGAGTCGACGAGGTTCTACAACAGGCTTACCAAACCTCAACGCATTATTACAGCTAGTCGACAGGATCCCTAATCACAGATAAGGATCCCAACCTATTATCTCAGAGAGTCGACAGGATCTCAACCTAATATTACAGAGAGTCGACAGGATTACCACAACGAAGGAGACCACAACGAAGAAGGTAAAGACTGTCCAGATAGATAGAAGAGCCAAGAAGCAAAGATGGAGGAACAAGCACGCTATTCCAACGAAACGACCAAGCAATCTTCCCCCCAACGACACAGCCGAACATCCCGCAAAATAAGCCGGTGAGAAGTTACCCACCTTCGACCTTACAACGCAACCATCCAGACGACATGCCACCATCGTCAAACAGAATCCACAAGCTTCTACAAGCTCTACATGGCACGCCTTCCACGTCATCAGGACAACAACCAAAGACCAAGTCCCCTGACTGAACAATCATAAAAACTGTGAGTTTTTTAAAAAAAATCTACTTAACTTTCTCTTCATGTTCACAACTTAATTTTCCATAAATATAATGTTTATTTTCACTGTAATCATTTTTAAATCAAATTTTACCATTTTTATAGCATTTCAATTCAAATTTTAAATATTGTACACCCTCATTTATCATTTTTTACTTTATTTTAAGCAACTTTTTAATTTTAATTCATTACTTTCAATTTTACATAAAAAATCATATTATATTTAAATTACTCGAATCATAATTCTAAACTTATTTGTGTGTTTCTCTTAATACCTTATTTTTATACCAAAAAACACCAATGTCTTACTTAAATACACAAAACTTTGCAAAAAATCATTATTATGTTCACTATTTTATGTACACGCCCCATTCAAATTATAAGTCACTATCATGCCATTGCCCTTTTACAAGTATAATTTTCGCACTAACATAAGCAACGATTTAAAAAATATGTTCAAATTTTAATAAACATAGGTGAAACGCATTTTTTTTTTTAAATACAAAAATCGAAAGATACAATATCTTCAAAAGCACAACTAGAAATGTAACTGTCCTTCTCCAAAACAAGTTAAAAATTCCAGCATAGCTACACTCCCTCGTCCTTTTCTTTTTACATGCATAATTATTAATAATTCACACATCCCTCGGAACGAACTTCAACACATTCCCACCTTACTTTCTCCAATTGGCCACATCTATTAACGCGCGATTCAACACGTCCAATTTCGAGCAACACGAGCTCCATATCGTCGCGAACACAAAGATTTCACGA